AAAGTTTATGTAAATTATTTCAATTTTATAATCTATTAAAAGTTTCGTAGTATTTACTTTTTTGGATTTTTTTTTTTTTTGTTGTAATTTATTTTTTTATTTTATTTATATTTTTAATTTTTTTTTTTTTTATTTATTTTTTTTAAAAAAAAAAAAATCTTTTTTTGTAGTGAAGGAAGAAAAATAATGAATTTTGTATTAGTTAGAAAGATAACAAGTCATATTTGTAAACCTGCTACTTTAGAAGTTTTGCCATGATTAAATAATATTATCGAATATAATTACAAAGTGTCCCAATAAAATATTAAACTTCATTTCATTATTCAAATGATGGCTTTTTTTTTTTTTGTTTTTTAAATATATAATATCTTAACAAATTTCTAAGTAATCAATTCTTAAAAGATTAATAACGATAATACATCAATACATTAATATTCCAAATTCCGGTTTCTTAATTTTTATACTGATATTGCCTCATGTAAATATAAAACTGAAAATGCTAAGAAAAGCAATCCACCGATAATTGTTACTTTAATTAAAATTTAATAAATTAGTAACATTAATAAATGCAACGATAAAACACCTTGTTAAACTATAAAATACACATACCTGATTTAACGGAAATTTTTGCAGCCAAAAATCTTCCTCCAATGACAGCAATACCCGTACAAATGCTATGACCAAGAATAACTCCCAAAGTTACAAAATAAACATTCTAAATGAAAGGTTGTTTTCACAATTAATAAAAATATATATATATGTGATATAAATAAATATAAAAATCAAAAAATTAACGCGATTTAATTACTTGAGCGGCAGCTAAGGCAATTGTTGCAATTTGAGAACGATCACCCCATTCCCCCAGGAATGTAAGTACAAAAGTTTGAACAAAAACGGGAGAAAATATAAATTGGCATAAATTGATTAATCCATCTTTAAAACCAGAATGATTTACTTCTTCATCTACACCACCAGCTTCGGCAGTTTCAATTAGATCAAATTCTTCTTTCTCTTTTAATTCTTGTGTTACTTCATTTAATTCTTGTTGAGCTTCTTCTTCAGACATATAATAACCACTGTATAACATTTT